GCTAAAGGTGCAAGTGGAGTTGGTGTTCTAATGAGATCCACGGTTATTGCGAAGTTCAAGCGAGACTTGGACTTGAAAGACGTCTATGGCGGTTGAGCCCATGTGGGGCTGTGGGAGAGTAGAAGTGAAGTTCAATTCTGGCAAAGCGTTTTTGACTTGGTTCAAACATCGAGCCTAAGTGAAGATTATCAAAATATGTCTCGAGTTTGAGCTTGAAAAAGAAAGTTTCCTAATTCAAGTAGATTTCCTATTTTGAATATATTTCCTAATTGGAGAAGGTTTCCTAAAAAGAGGTTTATTATTTTGGAACCAATTCTTGCATATATATAAGAAGTGGATCTTCTTTGTGAAGAGTCTTACCTGAGAGTTTTAGTGTTGAGCCAATTAAGAAGACTAAGCTTTTCCTTATAACTTGCGGCCAGTTAATATGATCAAATTCCAACTATGTATCTACATCACTCCAAATGTGAGTCGCAATAGCTTCATCTTGACATGAAATTTTCACTTTTTTAACTAAGAAGTGGACAATAAGTGCCACTAGACATTCGACCTAGCAGTTGAGGAGTGAGGTTAGATCAAACCATATCTTCATTTAATAGCTCAAGTTATTATACCATTGATAGTGGTATAATAAAATTTTATAATTGCATGTTTGTAACATGATTTTGTACTTTAGCTATTCACTCATAATTTCTGCTCACACTATCGCAAGGTACGCGGCATATACGCGGCATATCCTATGTATTCATTGTTTAGAGTGTACTCATTATCGCAGGGTACATCATGATAAAAAAAAAAGGGAAATAATGTAAGGCACATAGAGAATAGCATAGGTTCAAAGACGGCCAATCTTCATAAAGTTTCAACTAAAAAACCAATCATGTGGCTGGTCAAGTAGTTCAAGACTTAATTTGCAAATCGAAGGTCGCAGATTTAATTTGCCATTTTACTTTCGGTTTGAGGATAACTTGGTTAGTATGCGAACGACAGGCTTGATCTTAGATGTATCGACAGTTTTGGGCTTCCCCGCTTGTACATGCTGGAGCTATGGTGATGGTCTTGTGAGATTGGTCTCAATCCCGTCTAAATCCTTTTTCTAGGAAAGGGAAAACAAAAATATAATGCACAATATGCAATTGCAGTGACATAATATTAAAGAAAAAAAATAGTTTGGCACAATCGATTTGAACAATATTTGATGGCGAACAAATTACACGTCCAACAAAAACAGTTTAGTCACTGTTGATGCTTGTCGATGACGGGTTATGACTCTAATGTCTTATTTTGGTCGGAAAATAATCTAAACAGTACTAAACTTAATGTAATCCTAAAACTTTTGATGATTTTCAGTACGGTCTATCTGATCAATTTATGCCGGGAAATTCCGGTTGTCCTACGTGGCACGGTTGGACGTTTTGCTTATTTTTATCTTTTTTTTCCTTTTGTTTCTTCTTTTCTTTTTACTGTTCATACTCTTCTCCCTGCATATCATCTTCAACCTCTGGCGTTGAAAGAACTGCAGGCCACGCTTGCAATGCCCTCGAAAATGTCCTCGTAACATCTATTGTCCCCAAGGCACAACACGATGTAGAGTGGAAACAACTTTCTCCAAAACTAAGGGCCCGTTTGGCAACGTATCAAATAGTGAAAATTTCTATTCTTTTGTTCCCAGAATCAGTTTGGGAACAGAAATCCGTTTGTTAAAATTTTTATGCCAAGGCACAATTTTGCAAAAAATTGATCCCAAAATCAGTTTTGGAACAGAATCAAGAAGCAAAAACAAGTAGCTCAGGGCTGGCGAGGTCGGCCCTCGCCGCCCCCGGCGACGGCGAGGTCGGCCCTCGCTGCCCCCGGCGACGGCAAGGTCGACCCTCGCCCGGCCAAGGCGAGGCCAGCGGCGAGGTCGACCTCGCCAGATCTGGGTGAGGTCGAGCCTCGCCCGGCCATGGCGAGGCCGACCTTGCCGTCACGACCGGCGAGGACCACGACGCCCTCGCCGGCCCTGGCCTGTCGCCGGTCGTCGGTGCCGACGACCGGCCATGGCCAAGGAAAAAAAAGAAAAAAAAGGAAAAAAAAAAAGAAGAAAGAAATATTTAAAAATTCAAAATATTATTAATAAAAAGAAATTTTGTGTAATTACTAAACGCATTTTTGTTCTTTTTCTATTCTAAGAATAGAAATTTTGAGCAGTTACCAAACGCCTTCAAATGCTTAGAAATTGTTTTCAGGTACAGAATAAAAAAAATCATTTCTGACCAGAATCTGTTCCCAGACACAGAATGGTTGCCATGTGCAGCCTAAGCCCTTCGCCAATCCCTGCATATTTGCCAGGAACAAAGGAGACTGAAAAGCACAGGAGAAGGAGAGAGAACCGCGATTCGTAGCAGCGCACGAAACTCAGTCTAGGTTGTCCGGGACCATAAAAGTTGTGATTGTGAATAATCACCGGAGATCCGCTACGGCACCCGAGCTGGCGGCAATCTTCGGCAAGAAGCTCCGGCGAGGGCTCCAATCACGCTTGATTTATCAAATCTAGATAAGACAAGAGAACATTTGAGCAAATTTGATCATTTTATTCTCTCTATATCATTTCCCTTCAATGTACATCCAAACAACGAGATCTGACGCAGATCCACGCTCGCAAGGCAAGACCTGACGCAGGCCTGGCGATTGGGAATCATCTGCAAACCCCGGCAAGGCCTCACGCAGATCCACGCCTGCGCTCTTTGCTCCAACCTCCACGACCAACCCATGGTCCTCGCCAAGATCTTCCGCTTCGTGGCGGCCTCGTTAACCCACTTAAGGCAATAAAGAGTGAGTGAGTGAGTGAGTGACTCAGGAGCAAGCGACTTGCGGTACGCGCACCGCCCGTTCGACCAATTTCCTCAACCAAACACGTTCTCCCACAACCTCCTCATTCGCAGGTACTCCAGTAGCTCGCAGCCTTGTGTCTCCGCCGAGCTTGACGGCAAACAGTGCGAGGAGGAGGGGACGTACGGTGACGATGACGATGGTGGAAGTCACGCCTGAATCGGAGCTACCCGGTCAACGGAGAACTTCATTTGATGAACAGTGTCATGGAAAAGAACGAAAGAAAAAATTAAAAAAGTTTCGCTCAGAACCGTGTCGCTTTGAATAAATTTGTTTATGTCAGCATCGACGGTACGACATAGGACAGCCGGCTCTGCCTTAGATGTCTATGTCAGAATTTCTTAACCTAAATCGGCCCATCGTGTTATATTGGAAAACCGTTAAAAAATTTAAAATTACATTAGTTAAATTGAAAAATTTAGGACTGAATTGACATATGTATAATAGATATAGGATTGATCGAGTAATTTTGCCTTGAAAACCGGGTTTAGTATTCCAAAAGACAAAATTGCAATCCATGTGAAAGTGCAACGGTCTTAAGCGGTTTTATTGTAAATGTTTCCCACCACACTAACATTATGAAATATATGTAACTGTTGAATAAAAAAGGATATCTAAATATTGGGATAGGGCCAAACTGGGCCCGGTAAAAAATGCAGATTCTGATTATTTTAATCAAATAACAATAGCTTAGAGCTTAAACAAGACATTACTTTTCCAGAAACGATCGACCGTCCATGTTGGATCTTTGCCATCGCCCCAGCTAACGTGCGTTTTAAGTTAAAAAAAAATCATTTTTTTTTCAAAATTCAAAAGATCGGTTCACACACGCAAGAATGACGGGAAAATTTTCCAAAAAATCATAAATATATTATACTTTTGCCAATTCAGTCCTAAACTTTTTAATTTTATCAATTAAGTCCGGATATTTTCGCTAATTGAGTCCATTTAGCTAATTTTAATCGGAAATCATTGATGTGGATGACTGCCGGCGCCGACGTAGAAATTTTTTAATACTATTTTTAAAAAAATCGAATTTTTTTTCCTATTTTTTCCTCTTTTCTTCTTCCTCCACCCAGCTGCCGAGCGTGGGCAATGGCTGGTGACCAGCCAAAGGAAATAACTGGCTGGGGCCGCCTTAAAAAGAAATAAAAAAGTAAAACAAATTAATAAAAATTTCGAAAAAATATTAAAATATTATTAAAATCATCCATGTCAACGCCAGTTGATCTACTGATTGTGCTATGTAGGATGGCCAGTGTTTACGTTAGCAGTTTCTGATCAAAATTGGTTAGTTGGACTTAATTGACAAAAGGTGAAAAATTTTATGACTCAATTAGCAAAAGTAAAAAGCTTATGACTTAATTTGTAAAAATATAATAAATTTATGATTTTTTGGATAATTTTCTCAAGAACCACGTAATGAAGGCAATTTGACGAAAACAGCACAACTTATGAAAATGGGTTTATTTTCTTTCATTGCTGGTCGAAGGAGCTTCTTCGAGAAGGGATAGCTAGGTGGGTCTCGCATTTTGTGGGCGGTGGGGCCTAAAGGGCATTTTAGCACAAAGAAATGGTGGAGTGGACTCAATTGTATTTTCTTTTATTTTGTCGAACAATTGTTTTTAATCAGTGGAGTATACTGTATACTAGTAGCACAATCCGAGCATGCGCACAAGTGAAAATTCTACCTAGTGAACGCTAAGTTGATCTCATATTATTTGTAAATGAATATGAAATAAATAGATCATGTTCTATATTAGATAAAACGTCCACCGTATCGCTTAATATATCAATTGTGTAAATGGCCGTCAATAAACCTAGTATTTACTCCGAGGACAATAAGGTACCTACTCAATCGCATGTAAAAAAGTTCATATTCTTCGTTGATTTTCAGGTTAAAATTCGTCCATTTACCATTTCAATATCAAGTTATTAACAGATAGTTTTAATTTCTCAAAAAGTAACTTCGCTCACGTCCTGATTCTTTTCGGACGGTGGACAGGCCCAGTACGAGTAGAAAGCTTAGGGTGCAAGAAATCAAAATGATTGCTTTTCTTCTTTCTTCTTCTTCTCGTTTTTCTTATCCCTTTCTTTCGTAATTTTTTGCCTGAATCCGACTGGCTGGGTCCTGAACAAGAGACCTGTATTCACCGAAATGAGATATATAACCAGAAAAGCTGAAAGCATCAGATGAATCCGTGCAATAATAAAGTCATCAGACACTGCATGGAAGGCGAAAACACGACCCACCCCGTCTTTTGACGTTTCAAAGGACATCGAGTGCTGCTTTTGAGCTTGCAACCACGATCCCTTTCCCTTTCCGAAGTCAATCTTCGTCTTCGCCGTGAAGAATGTTCACTTCGGAGTTCAAAATGGGACTGATGATGAGTGTAGCTTGCCCCTTTTTTTGTCTCGCAAGTTTCTTGAGACCTGGAGAGTGATTTTTCCCTGGTGTTTTGGTACGTGGGTTCAGGTGGGGCTTGAGAGTGAGCACAAACAGAGTGTTGCGTATGGAGAAAGCAGAGGGTGGTTTGAGCAGCAAGAGAACAAGGGACAATCCCAGTGACCTGACTGCTACTGTCTTCTCTTGGTCTCTTCACGACATTTTCAACGAAAACCTCTACCATGACCAGGTTTCTTTTTATTCGTTTCTCATCTTTGCTTTTTCCCTTTTCGCACGCCCTGTTGGTTTTATTTTCGTGTAAGTTCAATGACAATGTGGTTTTTACTTGGGAATTTTCCAAATGATGTTAGTTCGTTGCCCCATTCTTTTTTTTTTTTTTGGCTTCCAGTTAGCCTAGCCTTATAAAAACCTTGCATTTGACTTAGTGTGATAGAACTTCCTTTTATGCTTTTACTTTGTTTGGAAAAATCATTAGGTATTTCAGGACTCTGTTTAATGTTTTACGGGAATTGGTCAGAGTAATTTTTTTGAATCTCGAGGTTGGTTGGTCATATTTGGGATTCGGCCGAGCTGTTTTTGTAGGTGGAGACTATACCGGAGACATTTAAGTCGGTCCGGCAGTATCTTGGATCGTATGTCTACCCTTTACTGGAAGAAACACGGGCGAGTCTGTGCTCGAGGTTGGAAGATATTTCTGTGCTGCCTTTCGCCAAGGTTACTGACTTTGTGGAATGCAAGAGAAGTAAAAACTCATATGCTGTCAAGGCCGGTCAGTGGAACAATGAATCCAACACTCGTGGCAATGAAACTTACAAAACTTTTCCTGGAGATATCTTGATTTTAACTGATGCTAAGCTGGAAACTGTTCCTGACTTGGAGAGGTTCGGAAGAAGATGGGTGTTCGCATCGGTAATGATGATTGGAGAAGATGACAAAGAGGATGAGGCAACGTCATCCAAAAACTTTAAAGTGAAGGCATTATTGGACCATGAAGTAGATAATTCCTGGAAGCCAATGTATGTGATTTTCCTGATAAATATAGTCACTAACAGTAGGATATGGAACGCGTTGCATATGGTTCCGAACTTAGATATTGTGAAGGAAGTTCTCTGCACGGATTTGGGGGTATGACTTTTTTTGTCCCCTTAGCCTTATAATTGTTATTGTATTTCTCTAAGCTTTAAAACTTCATGTTTACTCCTGTTGATTTGTAAGTTTTAACACAGAAAAAGATAAAGGTCCCTTTAGGCCATTCTGTTTTATTACTGGATTAGGATGCTTGTTTCCTTTAGTTGGTCCATTTCATGATATGGAGATGAATGAAGATGTGGCCAATTAGTGAAGTTATTTCTTAAATAGGGCAAATTAATTCTTTGGAGGCGACTTCCTTGTCAGTACTAGACCTTAAAATTTTCTATACTATACTTTTCACGGGATTTAAGTTTGTGCTGCGCAATGCTCTTTATATCATATGAACACCAATTAAGTTTCAGGGTCTCTAACATTCTACCATATGTACACTGTCTAAATTATCACAAGAAATGTGTTTTTGTTGCAGGCTGATAAAGTTTCCAATCTCTGTATTAAAAAAGGTGATGGTTCTGGGAGTGAGAGCCTTGACAAGAGATTGTGCCATGATCTGAATGAATCCCAAATAAAAGCAGTTGGCGCCTGTCTCAATAAACTCCAATACAAGAACAAGCCATCTGTCGAACTGATATGGGGTCCTCCTGGAGCTGGGAAAACTAAAACTGTCGCTACACTGCTATTTACTCTCTTAAAAAGGAAACATAGAACCATTGTTTGTGCTCCTACAGATGTTGCCATCAAGGAAGTGGCATCTCGTGTTTTAAAGCTGCTAAAGGAATCAGATAGTGGTATAAGCACCGAAACGGAAAGTTTGCTCTGTTACTTTGGAGACATGCTTATTTTTGGGAACAAGGAGCAGCTGAAAGTTGATTCCGACATTGAAGAAATATACTTGGAACACCGTGTAGATTGTGTTGCTGAGTGCTTTTCTAAAGACACTAGTTGGCATCAGTGTCTAACTTCCATGATAGATACTCTTGCCGACTGTGTCCGTAAGTACCACATATTTTTGGAAAACAAACACACAAAAAGATGGAAACCAGGAAGTGATGATGATGGGAGCAAATGCGGAAGCAGTGAAGAAGATGGTAACTGTGAGCTTAAATCATTTCTTGAGTTTTTCAGGGACCGGTTCAAGGCAATTCTCCAGCCCCTGCGGAGATGCCTCTTTATTTTCTGTACTCATATATCCAGAACTAATTTCCAGAATATTACATCCCTCCTTACCTTACTTGATTCTTTTGAAACTTTATTATGTGGAGAGAAGTTGGATTCAGAGAAGATGGAGATAACTCTTTCACGTGATGAACTTAGCCTGTTTTCATTTGAGATGTCTATGGGTCCACTATATAATTTATATATGAAGAGACAGGAATGCCTTTCCATGTTGCTAACTGTTCGTGATTCTCTGAAGGATCTAAAACTTCCAAACTTTATGAGTAAGGCCATGATAGCTGACTTCTGTTATCGACATGCTTCCCTGATTTTTTGCACTGCTTCTAGTTCATATAAGCTGTACTCAGTGGAAATGGAGCCTCTCAATTTACTGGTAATCGATGAGGCAGCCCAGTTGAAAGAATGCGAGTCAGTAATTCCTCTGCAACTCCCTGGTGTCAAGCATCTGATTTTAGTTGGAGACGAGTGTCAGTTGTCTGCTATGGTCGAAAGCAAGGTAATGTTTAAATGTCTGAAAAGTAACTTTCAATTGGTCTTGAAAGATGCGTAATGTCCTTACTCTCCGTTGGAGCTTAGATGGGCTAAATGTTCTATACCTAACGGCCCTTGAATTTTTTATCATATTTTATATCTACAGGTTTCTAGCAGGGCTGGCTTTGGAAGGAGTCTGTTTGAACGATTGAGTTCACTGGGTTATTCAAAGCAACTTCTCAATATACAGTACCGGATGCATCCATCAATAAGTCTGTTTCCGACTTCAAACTTTTATCAAAACCAAATTTTGGACGGGCCAAATGTGAAGAGCAAAAGTTACAGGAAAAGTCATTTGGCATGGCCGATGTTTGGCCCTTACTCGTTCATAAATATTCCTGATGGACGAGAACAAATTGGTGATGGTGGCTGTAGCCTTAGAAACCCTGTTGAGGTGGAAGTTATCTCGACGATATTGAGGAATCTGTACAGAGGTATGTCAAGAGAATTTTATACATGTTGCTTCGAGCGCATGGATTTTGCATGTATTACTTAATTATATTGGTGTAGAATATGATGGCCATTAATGGTTCTTGTCGTAGGATATTTCTTTCGAAGTTTTGCACCCCTCATAAAATGATATCATTGTTGTGATGGTTTTTTGTCCTTTTCTTTGCAGCTTGGGATGGGTCAGAAGATCTGACAGTAGGTGTCATATCTCCCTTCACAGCTCAGGTTGCTGCAATTCAAGCTAAACTTGGAAAAAAGTACGAAAATATCAAGGGCTTTACAGTCAAGGTGAAGTCAGTGGATGGATTCCAAGGGGGTGAAGAAGGCATTGTTATAATATCCACCGTAAGATCAAACTCGCACGGGACTATTGGGTTCTTGTCCAATACTAAGAGAACCAATGTTGCTCTTACCAGGGCCAGGTACTCTATCCTCTTAACTGTGTCAAATTACATTTTTAGAGTGATATAGCCTATAAATCCCAGAGTTATTTCCTGTCTATAGGTATTGTCTGTGGATTGTGGGAAATGGGAAAACACTGACAAAAAGCAAATCTGTGTGGGAAGCTTTGGTGGACGATGCTAAGAGTCGTGGATGTTTCTTCAATGTTGATGATGACACGGACTTGGTTAAAGCCATCTTAGATGCGAAGAAAGAGAATAATCAGCTTGATGATCTGCTTGACAGAAGCAGTGTACTTTTCAGAAATGCTAGGTGGAAGGTAAAAAACTTTGCTCATTTCTACGGCTACAGTTACTTTTCAAAATAAGCATTAAGTTTTAAAGAATTTGTGACAACATATCCTATTGTCATGCTTTGGTCTTTTCAGGTTCTTTTCTGTGACAACTTCCTGAAGTCTTTCAGAAATCTGACATCGCCCAGGACAAAGATGTCAATCATCAACCTTCTGTCAAAACTATCCAGTGGCTGGAGACCAAAGAAGGGGAATGTGGAGATAACTTGTGAACGCTCATCTCATATCGTAAGAAAATTTAAGGCTGAAGGTGTCTATGTCTTATGCACGATTGATATTGTAAAGGAACTGAGATACATCCAAATCCTGAAGATATGGGATGTATTGCCTTTAGAGGATGTGGCAAAATTGGTCAAACGTTTGGACAGCATATTCGAGACATATAGTGATGATTTTATTAGTCGTTGCAATGAGAAATTCATTGAGGGGTAAGTCTGATAATTTCTTCTTACTTAACATAGGTAGCACATCACTTGATAAATTATAAAGCTTCTCTTTTCCAGATAGATGACTAAAATATGTTGAATTGATCTTATACCCCTATTTTCTTTCATTTCACATGCCTCTTACTGTTATAGGGCTCAGGAAGTTCCGAAGACCTGGCCTTTTGATGTTGTCCGCTATCGAAGTCCTAGTGAAGATCAATTTGGTAGTAGTTCTGATGCTGATGCTTCAGATCATAGGTTGTATGCAGAGAATGCGAGAGTGACCAAGAGTTTGTTTCTGATGAAATTCTACCCCTTATCAACTGATGTCAGCCATTTGCACAATGATGGTGATAGCAACGAAGCGATTCTTCCATTTGAAGTAACAGAGCAAGAACAAGAGATAATTCTTTTCCCCAGAAGTACTTTTATACTTGGGCGATCTGGAACTGGAAAAACTACGGTCCTGACAATGAAGTTGTTTAGAAACGAGAAACTGCATGATGAAGCAACCAAGGGATTTCAGGAAATCCAAAGTGGTATCAGCCTCAGCAAAGATGCCTACCCAGAAATCAATGTTGAGGAAATCGGTGAAGGAGCAGAGGATTGTGTATTGCGCCAGCTTTTTGTGACTGTCAGTGCAAAATTATGTTTTGCGATCAGACAACATATATCTCAACTTAGAAGGTACATAAATTGTCATGGGAAGATGTTTGAACAATTGAATTGATATTCTTCAAGTTTTACAATGATCGAACACATGCAAGGTTAATGGATTGTCAAATCTTTTTGTGAATTAGTCCGGACAAGAAGATAACCCCTTTGGCATGCTACTATTTTCCTTCTGGCGGAGAAGCACAACCAAGATACTTCATATTTAGACTTCGATAGGAAATATAACATGTAGCTAGAGTGCATGGGTCAAATCAATGCTTTGCCATGCTCGGGTGCTATTACTTGGTTTTAGCTGCTAGAAAACAGATTTAATCATTGCATATTAAAGATCGACATCATCTGCTTGCCGATTTCAAACTAAGGATTAATATGTGCGGCAATAGTCCTTACTTTGGTCTTTGTGCTACTTCTTTAGTTTGCATTTCCATTTTATTGGAAACTTTCGTATTAAGTTTTGTGATTGTAGCATTGTACGTATAAAAAGAAAATTGTATTTTAAATGAAAATATGCAATTATAAGCAGAATCGAGAAAGGACCGTCTGTTCTACAAATCTTGCTGTAGGGGAAGATTTTCATTGCCAGCTAATGTAAATGCTATGCCGGATAGGTGAGCGTGGTCCGGGTGGGCGATTCCCAACATGGAATTGGGAACCGTCCACTAAGGACCGGTTCCGAGAAATTGGAACCGGGAACCGCCCGTTGATTCCATTGATCCACCCGGGAACAGGACTGCCGGTCCAGACCGGCGGTCCGGTTCCCGGGTGGATCCATGGAACTGGTCCCACTAAGTTTCATGCAAATGGAGGTGACCGAGAGTGAGAGAGGAAGGTGATAAATGGCTAAAGGCGCGGCCGTGAGTTAATGGGAGTTGAGAGTCGAGTTTTAGATTAAGGATTTTATGGTTTTCATTTTTCTAAAAATGTTTTCTTTTTTTTTTGGGTTGAAATTTTTCTAAAAAATTATATATATGTATATATATTACTTGTCCGGTCCGGGTGGGGCGGTTCCACACCTAGAACCGGGAACCGGACCGGTAATCACCAGTTTTAGTAAATTAGAACCGGGAACCGGACTGGTCCTCACGAGAACTGCCGATTTTGGGCCGGTCCGGTCCGGTTCCTGGCGGTCCGGGCGGTTCCCGGTTCCTTTGCACACCCCTAGCTATCCGTGTCTCGTAGTATATCATTACAATCTTGGTGCATCAGCGTGTTCTAATTCCCTTTTCGCTGTTAGTTACCTAAACGTAGAAATTATGAGATTGCATGTGTAGTGTAGGTATTCTCGTAAGTTTGTTAAGTATAAATTTTCATTTCTAATTGCCAGCTTAATTGTCCTGCAGCTCCAGCATTGGTGCAAAACATAGAGTAGAAAGCTCCTCAGTTGATGAGATTGTTGATGATGCAGCACTATTCAAGGATATCCCGGATTCATTCGAAGATATATCTCCCAACTCTTATCCCCTTATTATAACTTTTCGTAAGTTTCTGATGATGCTAGATGGAACAGTTGGGGTTTCGTTCTTTGAAAGGTTCCCCGATCTAAGGGAGTTTTGTCATGGCCAATCCTACAATTCTAGACCAGTTGCCTTACAAAGTCTTCTAAGAGCAAAGGAGGTTACTTATGAAAAGTTTTGTGCAGTTTATTGGCCTCACTTCAATGACAAGATAAGGAGGCGGCTTGATCCTTCCAGAGTCTTCACTGAAATAATGTCCCACATAAAGGGTGGTCTTCAACCAGCAGATTGTTGTGATGGCAAACTTGACAGATTAGCTTATGTTTCACTTTCAGGGGGTCGTGTCTCGACTCTGAGTATTCAGAGAAGAGAAGAAATTTATGATGCTTTTGAGGATTATGAAAAGGTGAAAATGAAAAATGATGAATTTGATTTGGCCGATCTTGTCAATGATCTTCATCGCCGTCTTTTTCGTGAACAGTTTACTGGTAAAGTGGTGGATTTTGTATATATTGATGAAGTGCAGGATCTCACCATGAGGCAAATTTCACTGTTCAAATATATCTGTAGAAATGTTAATGAAGGCTTTGTGTTTTCGGGCGACACTGCACAGACTATTTCTAGGGGAATAGACTTCAGGTTTGAAGACATAAGGTCCCTTTTCTACAAAGAGTTCTTGATAGATTCAAAGGATGGACCTGATATCAGAATGGAAAAGGGATGTCTTTCCAAAACTTTCCATTTGAGCCAGAACTTCCGCACTCATGCTGGTATCCTCAAACTGGCTCAGAGCGTTGTTGACCTTCTTTACCATTTTTTCCCTTTATCCGTTGATGCTTTGAGCCCCGAAACTAGCTCTTTATGTGGGGAAGCCCCAATTTTACTTGAATCGGAGAATGATGGAAGTGCCATACTGTCAATTTTTGGTTACAGTAATGTTGGTGGTAATTTCGTTGGCTTTGGAGCAGAGCAGGTTATTTTGGTTCGAGATGATCAATCTCGAAATGAAGTTTCAAACCTTGTGGGAGGGCAAGCCCTAGTTCTGACTATATCGGAGTGCAAGGGGTTGGAATTTCAGGTAGGTGTGTGTCAGGTTGGATTGTTTGCCATGTGATTATTAATGGTAGCAGCAGTAAAGATTTCATGACCATTTTTTTATGGGCCAATCTTTCTTTGATGGGTCAAGACCAATTTTTGCTGCTAGCTGTTACTTTGTAATATGTTTGTATTTGCCATTTCATTCTACTATCCCCTTTTGTTTCTATGTATATAATGGCATCTCGATACACATGATGTAGAATTTGTGTTGGCTCATCTGAACATTATCCTCTAGGTTAATAGGCAATATCAAAGATCTTGCAACTTTATGACTGATCTTGATTGGCAAGTCTGTCAAAATGAGTCAAACTATTCTCTTCCTAAATGTTTTGAGATCTCTTGATAAATTCATGAAACTCAAAATATGTCATTTTGGTCTTTAATCAGTTGTTTTTACCAGAAACATTTTTGCCTGTGACATTATGTAGGACGTCTTATTGTACAACTTTTTTGGCACATCACCTCTGAAAAGTCAATGGAGAGTCATTTATGGATACATGAAGGAGCAAGCTTTGCTTGATAACAGCTCTAAGTGGTCTTCCCCAAGTTTCGATGATGGTAAGCACAATATGTTATGCTCTGAAATGAAGCACTTGTATGTTGCAATAACTCGGACAAGGCAAAGATTGTGGATTTGTGAAAATGCCCTGGAGTTCTCTAAACCAATGTTCGACTACTGGAAGAAGAAGTGCCTTATTCAAGTTAAGCTGGTAGATCAGGCCCTTGCAGAAGCAATGCAGGTCAGGAGCACGCCAGAGGAGTGGAAGTCACAAGGTTATAAGGTTCGCTGTTTTTCTGTTTTTTCTTGTTTTGTTGTTTCCTCTTCACGGAATTTTTATTTTCGCGTCATTTGGAGTCAACATGATCTGTGCATGCTAGGGATTTTGGAATGACAATAGTGACCGTGAAAGTATAACCGATTCGAAAATAGTGTATAGAATGAGTTCGTTCTATGGTCCACATATGGTGATGGATTTGCCAAATTTATTGTTTTTCTTTAATAGTTTAGCTGGATACTTCTTTTAGAAACAATGGATTAATGCATAAGATATGAAATTATTTTGTATCTTTTTTTCTCTTTTGGGTTTATCTGGTCGTTGGCAGTGCCCGTGCCTTTTTGGGTTTAGGCTACACCATTGATTATTTCTATAAGGGAATATGTTTTCCGCTTCCTCTTTTCACCTTCTTGGAAGAAGCTATTGACCTCTATTTTTTGTGTAAATTTGCAAGCTCTTACGTAAGGGTAACTACCGAATGGCAATAATGTGCTTTGGACGAGCAAGGTACACATACGGGGAGAAATTGGCTAAGGCCTCTGCTATGAAAGCAGATGCAGATCTCAAGCACGTTTTAAGTTCACAAGAGGCTTCTGATCTTCGAAGGCAGGCTGCTGAGATTTATGAAACAATTGGAATGGCCGACTTTGCGGCGGAGTGTTTCTACTTGTTAAAGGAATACGAGAAAGCAGGTATCTTATGTTCTTTTTTTTCAATTTCTTTCCTTGCTCTCACATTGATAAGATGGAGAATTTATATGCTTTATGCTGCTTCTTTATTTTTCTTCTTAATGTAGCCATGCCAAAGCTGCCTAAGAAAGACGAAGTTTGACTTCGATCTCAATTATTCTCTCGTATTTTGTTTTGTTTTTTTTTTTTTGACGTGCCCGGTACCCTCTTGTTTACATGTTAAATTAATTTTTCTCGTTCAATATTAAAAAAAGAAGAAGTTTGATCTCACTCGTTAATTTCCATATGCTTTTGGCGAATTTTGACCAAGCTTGCAACTAATGTCGACTTCATGATTAAGGCCTTTGTATTGAGAAGTTGATAATTTTTTATAGGGATAAGTGCATTGAAAGTCCTAAAACTTGTCACGAAAGTGCAATTGAGTCTTAAAACTTTCATAATGTACAATTAAGTCCTAAAACTTGTTACGAAAGTGCAATTGAGTCCTAAAACTTTCAAAAAGTGCAAACAAGTCCTAAAACTTGTCAAATTTGTTCAATCAAGTCCTTTCATTGATTGCACTTTTTAAAAGTTTTAGGACTTGATTGCACCTTCGTAATAAATTTTAGGACTTGATTGCATTTTTTGAAAGTTTTAGGACTTGATTGCCCTATCGTGATAAGTTTTAGGACTTAATCGCATTTTTTGAAAGTTTTAGGACTTAATTGCACTTTCATAACAAGTTTTAAGACTTCTAGTACACTTATCCCTTTTTTATATGACAACCCTCCTTTGCACTCGTAGCAGTTTGGAAAAATTTGAGCTGCAAAGTTCTTAACACTGACCACACCTATAAGTTTAAAAGAAGCTGCAGCTATCAGTTGCAATACCCCATGTTGACTATGGTTTTTCAAAACCTTGTTTGTATTGTAGCCACCTACAAACATGGATCCTGTTTCATATCTTGATTGGGTAATATAGTTGGGCTGTGCAAGAGCATTTCTAGGAGCTTCTAAATGTGCCTTTGCTAACGTTTTATCTTCTAAACGTTGTTAAATTTTACGAGAACATAAGGACTCTATAAATGAGACCGACATTAAATTTGTTTATTCTTCAACAGGTAGAATATACATGGAAAAATCTGGAGAATCTGCGTTGGAGAAAGCTGGAGACTGTTTTTCTCTAGCTGGGTGCTACACTCTTGCGGCGGAGGTGTACGCAAGGGGAAATATTTTCTCCAAGTGCTTGTCCATTTGTGCCAAAGGAAAACTCTTTGAAATAGGTCTGCAATACATCGAGGATTGGAGAAGGCAGGGAAATGAGAACAGTATAATAATAAAGAAAAGTAAAGAAATAGAGAAATTGGAACACGACTTTTTAGAGAGTTGTGCCGTTCATTACTATGACCTCGGAGACTACAGGGCCATGATGAAGTATGTGAAGGCTTTTCATTGCATCGATTCAATGCAAAACTTACTCGAGGGCCTGGGATGCCTTGATGAACTTATCAGTTTGGAGGAAGACTGTGGTAACTTTTCGGAGGTGGCGAATTTTATAAGGATGAAAGGTGATATACTTGGGAAGAGCAAACAAAGCAAAGAAGCGTCAATGAAGGAATACGAGAAAGCTGGTATTTTTTTTCTTTTTTTCAATTTCTTTCAAAATGATAAGATGGAGAACTTACATGCTTTGTGCTGCTTCTTTATTTTTGTTCTAGTTGTAGTGAAGTCAAAGCTGTCTAAGAATGAGGAAGTTTGACTTCAATCTCAATTATTCTCTTACATGTAGTTCTTTTACATGCATGGTACCCTCTTCTTACCCATTTAATTGTTCTCTTTCGATATTCCAGAAAAAGGAATTCAATCTCACTTGTTTATTTCGAAATGGTTTTGGTGAATTTTGAGCAGCTGCAAATAATGTCAACTTCATGATTAATGCCTTTTTGTTGAGAAGTTGATTAATATCTATATGACAACCTGCTTCTGCACTCCAAGTAGCAGGGAAAAATTTGAGCTGCAAAGTTCTTAACACTGGCCACACCTATAAGTTTAAAAGAAGCTGCAGCCATCAGTTGCAATACCCCATGTTGACTATGGTTTTTCAAAAACTTGTTTGTATTGTAGCCACCTACAAACGTTGATCCTATTTCGTATCTTGATTGGGTAATATAGTTGAGCTGTGCAAGAGCATTTATGGAAGCTTCCAAATGTCCGTTTCCTGTTGTTTTATCTTCTTACTACCGTGAAGTCATTAAATTTTACAAGAACATCAGGACTCTATAAATGAGACTGACATTAAATTTGTTTATGCTTCAACAGGTAGAATATACATGGAAAAATGTGGAGAATCTGCATTGGAGAAAGCTGGAGACTGTTTTTCTCTAGCTGGGCGCTACAGTCTTGCGGCGGAGGCGTATGCAACGGGAAATATTTTCTCCAAGTGCTTGACCATTTGTGCCGAAGGAAAACTCTTTGAAATGGGTCTGCAATACATCGAGGATTGGAGAAGGCAGGGAAATGAGAACAACGTAATAATGAAGAAAAGTAAAGAAATAGAGAAATTGGAACACGATTTTTTAGAGAGTTGTGCCGTTCTTTACTATGACCTCAGAGACTACAGGGCCATGATGAAGTATGTGAAGGCTTTTCATTGCATCGATTCAATGCGAAACTTACTTGAGAGGCTGGGATGCCTTGATGAACTTATCAGTTTGGAGGAAGACTTTGGTAACTTTTCAGTGGCGGCGAAGATTGTGAGGAAGAAAGGTGACATCCTTCGTGAGGCTGATCTACTTGGAAAGAGTGGACAAAACAAAGAAGCGTCGATGAATATCCTGTGGTACGTGTTATTCTATTCCCTTTGGGCTCCTGGAAGCAAAGGGTGGCCCTTGAAGCAGTTTGCACAAAAGGAGGAGCTGGTAGCAAAAGCCAAACATCTCGCAAAGCCTGAGCCTATTGCCTTCTTCGAACATGTTTCTGTAGAATCGAGCATTCTGTTAAACGAACAGAGCAGTTTGGCTGAAATGAAAGAACATTTTAGTGCTTCCAGGAGAAATGGAAGTGTCAGAGGTGAAATACTATGCGCTAGAAATATTCTGGACTTCCATCTTCGTCAAAATATCTCTAATTTTTGTTGGGAATACGATTGGCTGGTCGACCCAATGGAGTATTCTGAACCACAGATCTTGGGGAATCTGATTTCCATTGACTCATTGGTCTGCTTTTGGAATCTTTGGAGAGAGAAGATAGTTAGAATTATAAAGTGTGTAGGATGTGCGGAGATGGAGGAAACGGAAAATAGGTGCTGTTGGGAGTTCTGTTTGAATTACTTTGGTGTTCTGGAGCAATGGAACAACATGCAAAGAACTTATCACCTTCTAAACCCAGATGCTGATTGGGTCAGAAACATAGGCAATGGGCAATTGGTTGCTTTGGAGCATCGACAATTGGTCTCTGCCGCGCGAAAGTATTGGTATTCTGAGCTTACTTCTGTTGGTATGGAGCTCCTGCACAAATTGGATGCACTTTATCTGTTTTTGGCAAAGAGTTCTCTGTCGAACTTCTGGCAAAGCAGATGTCTTGCTCTCTTACATGAGGTTGCAAAGTTCCTTCAAGAACTCAATTGTCCCAATCCCTCCTTCCGGGATGGTGAGGCATTGGAGGGTTTCATTAACACATCCAGTAGGAGGTACTTTAGTCACATATTTCCTCTTGACTGGCGAATATCATCGGCAGAGAATATGATATCTCTAAGAGGAAGTGAGGCTCCTCGTAATTTTCTGAGAAAAACGATGAACCTGAAAATTTTGGAGGAGCATTTTTCACATGGGAAGATGGGTGAGCTTGCGACTTTGGTTCTTGGGTCTGGAATGCTCGACAATGATTTGTACAGAAAAATTGCAAAATCTTTTGAAGGAAATACGTCATGGGAGGCATTCATGGAATGCGTTTGTCGGGATGTAGCATCAGACCTTCCTCAGGCGAGCGATGGACCCATGGAAATCTCTTTGGCTTGGAACCTTTATGGAGCTTTAGCAGATACTTGCAATGCCAATTGGAGGACTGAAAGAGACTACATCACACCAATTTGCTTCTTTTATCTCTTGGAACGACTTTTGATTTTGTTATCTTGCTCCAAAGGGCAGTTTTATGCAACCAAGTCTTCTCTAGTTGAATGGCTTATCTGCCATGAAGGTTTAGCAAAGGGTAACTTCAGTTTCAACCCAGGAAATTGTTTGGAGCCCATCATTGGGTTTCTTATTTGCACTATTGAGCAGCTACTTTGCAATAAGGATGAAACCAGAGAATGGATCAAAAGATCAAACCTAAATGTGACGGAGTACTACCCACTGTTGGTCTTGAAGTTGGTTCTGTTGGTTTGTTTGCTTCACTTAAATTTTGGCTTCAGTCCATATTTGCTCGATGATTTGCAGGGAAAGAGTTGGATTTCTGAGCAATTACCTCCGGAGTTTCTTCGTATTCTTTCACATTGCCAGAAGAGGAACTTACGGAAAACTTCAGTTGGTGTTCTCGCTGAAGCATTCGATAAAGTTGACGATCCCCTCGTAATTACCAATTTGGCTGAAGATTGTTCCAATTTCTTATGTCCCCATGCCATCATTTTAGACGTGAAGTCAAACAAATGCAAGGAAGAGATTATGAAAGTTTTATTCCCTAAAGATGGAAGCGCTGTGAGCTCTTGCAAGTTGCAAGAGCTCACTGAAGTACCCGAGGATTCCTCATCATCTTCCAACAGTGTTCCAGCACCAGTTGTGCATTTGGTTGGTGCAAACACGTTGTCTTTGGAGTGTGACCAATCATCGAAAAGGTTGGATTCATTAGAGGCAGCAACTAATGCAAAGGATGAGTGGATGGAACATGTCACTACTGCCTCGACAATGGAGGTGATTCAAAGTCCTTGTACTATTACATCCTGTCTTGACTGTGAAGCAAGCAATTCTGCCCCGGTGAACCATACGTCGCTGGGACACGAGTTGGGCTTAGTGAATGAAGAAGAGAAGAGCGAAATCGTGGAAGGTAAAAAAACCTATGATGTGAATAGGCACTTGTTAATGGCCCTTGGGGCTGGGGTGGCCCTTGGGGCTGGGGCGCTTGTTTTCCTGATGTGGAAATCAGGAAGAAGAAGAAGGGCAATCGCAAGAAGGTAAGCAAAATAGAAAGGAAGAGGCAATAAGAGATGAACCCTCTCTTCATTTTCCGAGATATAGTTTTTGATTGAAAATTGTATGTTGTTATAATCTACAAGTAATCCACATTCTTGTAAATGCATGTGGAACTTTAGTAAAATAGTTCTTACAATTGAAGAAAGACCAGATCTCCCAGACAGGAAGCTCATTACTCTATACATTTCCTGAAGTTCTAGTGGTGAATAGTCATGAAAATATACTGTCCCTTACTTGGCTGCAGATTATTGTTCCTTCCTTTTTACCTCTCTGAACCTTTAATTCTTTCGTGCCTCGGGATAGCTCGAATGCTGTTAAAGAATGAGAAAGAAAATGCAACTTTCTCCGCTTATCTTATTTACTTACAGATCATCTTGATAGAGAAGTTTGCCTGACTGGAGCGAAAATATGTTACGTGATCCAGCCTGTGTGTTAGAATATGTCTCGAGGTTGAGTCCGAAACGAAAATCTGAATATTCCGAATTGGATATTTTGCGGACGTCCGAAATCAAGCATAGCTAAATATGATAACTGTTCTTTGGCAAGTTAAAGTCCGCGAAGAAAGAAAGAATATTATTCTTTCCTAGTTCTTGTGGAATTCACGGCCAGAAGAGGAAAGAAGAAAAAAATAAAAAGGAAAGTCCAACTTTGGACGTTGTTGACCGAACTTCACGGTTTCCTATTCCACGTTGAGATTGCCACGGTGTTTCCTTTCCTGGGTATATATATTTTGGATCATGGGATTTGGTTCAGTGCACCGTTGTTGATGAATACATGAAGAGGTCTTAAAGCACCGTCCACGAGTGCTTGATAGTGAGCTATCTTTGTGATTTTATTTGTGGAATTACACCAAGAATTTAAGTGTTTGTAGCAATTAAATTCTCGTGATTAGAATTTGTGTTTAATTCCTTCGCGAGATTGAGAAATTATTTCGTGAGTAATTGTGAGACTAAACGCTGCGTGAGTTATATGGTGTAATTAAGGTTTGGGAAACACTGAGAGTGTTTAAGTGACTAGAGTTTAGTTGTAATCTCCATTGTATCGCTTGATCTATACTGTTCTTCATGTGGACGTAGGTCACTATGACCGAACCAAGTAAATCTGATGTCCGATTTAGTTTCTTGTTTTGTCAATTTTATTGTTCGATCGCTTGGCTTCCGTAATATTGTGAGAGCATATGTCCATATGGGAACGTACATAATTCATCCGTTTGCTCCCTCCCCAGAGGATGGACGACTCGGTCGCCGGAAAACTCTCCTATTTACATACGGATAAGCACATGAGTGAGCCGAACTTGGATCTTAATGAAGGATAAAGGATGATATAACTATAAGATTTGAATACCTGAGCAACTCTTACAATGAGCCACCTCCTGAACAGCTTTTGTCGTATGAAGGACTCGTCTTCACTCCATGGCTAAATGATATCGGGTCTCGGTATTGATTGAGCGATGTCAATGTTGTAAAATAATGCAGAAACTATCAAATCTCGCAATTAAATTAACGTGTAATCACTGGAGAAATAAACGAGGAAAAAAAAAACACAAGAAATTTACGTGATTCGGTCCTAGTGTCCATTCTTACTACATGGAGTGAGTCATCCGCAAATAATATATTAAAAAATTGGAGAATTACAGAGTTATAATCCTTCATACGTTTGAGTATTTCCCAGCCCTAGGATACATCCAAACCCATAAAAAAGAAAATTTCCAAAGCCCTTTGCAAAAAAAATTTGCCAAACACTACTTGAACCAAACGCCGTTTGCATTTCCCTAAGGGGCTTTAACCGGAAGGTATTTGCATTCCCCCAAGTCTCATTTGTAAAGTTGAACCAAACGGGCCATATATCCGAATTGAGTTAATTTTTTTTATTATCCTACCCTTCGCCAGATCCGGTAAAAGCCTATGACTGCCGGCGAGCTAGATCTAGCACCGGCGGTTGTCGCCCGAGGTCGGGCAACCCCCGGCGAGCCAGATCTGCTGCTGTCAACCGTCGCCGGAGGCCAGGCAACCCTCGGCGAGGGTCGAGTGACTCGCCTGGAGTCACGCGACCTCAGCGGCCGTCGGCTAAGGTCACGGAACCGCCCAGGCGCCGCTGGCCTAGGCGGTCACGCGATCTCAAGTGGTCGTCGCCTAGGTCGCGCGACCTCGCCGGCCCGATCTGGTGTCGGTCGCCCTCGTCGGCCGCCCTAGCACAAAAGATGAACAATAATAAGAGAGGCAAAACCGAAATAAGCCCAAATAAGTGAGGGTAATTTGGGGGCAAAAAAGTTGGTTTCAGCATTTGCCAAATGCTGAAAGCCCAAAGCTGATCCGGACTAGCTTTGGGCTTTGAGCATTCCCAATGCTGACTTTCGGTCGAAAGCCCATTGAGAATGCTTGTCAAACGGTTCAGCATTTCCCCAGGGGGCTTTCAAGGCCGAAAGCTTCTTCCCAAAGCGGAATGTAGAACTCATAGCACAAAACAACCCTGTGTTTAGAGCTCCCCTTTTTGAGCGATTTATTTTGAGCTCCTCTTACCATGCGACAGTAATCAAGACAAAAGACATGTGCATCGGAATTCTTGACCTAATACTTGTCTGGCGAAGTCTTCACAGTGTTGCAGTTCAACCAAGGCCTTAACCATTTTCTTTAAATAGATCTGATAGTTTTCACGTTATATTTCAACTAATTGGTACAGTAGCTATATTACAACAATTGGTATCATGGCTATTTAAAGTAAATAGATAAGACCTTGGATTCGGTCAAGAATCCATTTGGGTTCTTGGGCTCAAACTCGAGCCATAATTCAATAGTCAAGACTTGAAACTATCTTCGGTTGTTGTCGCACCGCGGAGATGTATCCTCAAAAAGTAAGTAGTGATGCACCTACTTTGATTTGGGAGAACTAAGGCGGCATTCTGTGTACCTGCTACCATGAAGTTGAATGTAGTTATGATGTCGTGAACTTGCTCAGGAAAAGTGTTGTCAAATACTAAGTACACAGCATTGCATGCATCAAACTGTTAACAGCTAACGCATACGGCACGTTAACCATGTAGTCTTACTCCTCATCTGTCTTTGGTGACTTTTTCTAAAGGAATTTTTCTGGGCTTTGCATTCTAAACTCCGAATCTATCTAACACCTTCTCAATGTACTTTTCTTGAGACGACTTTAGAATTCCTTGTCTCACATGATCCTCATCCGAAGAATTTGATTTTCTGCTCCCAAGTTCTTCATTTCAAACTCTTTTGACAATTACTAATTCAGTCAATTGATCTCCATACAACATCCAAATAATATAGTAGCACCAAATTTCTTGAACTAAAAACAGCGATCCATTTCACTTCTAGTGAACCTGTTACAGCACATAAATGTATCAAATTTCTCGTACCACTATTTAGGAGCTTGTTTCAAACCATACAGACTTTTCTTCAACTTCCAAACATAATTTTTTTTTTTTAGAAACCTCAAAACCTTCTAATTGTACCATGTATATATCCTCCTCTAAATCATCATGGAGAAATGCAGTATTTACATCTAACTTCTCTAGAAGTAAATTTTTAGTAGCAACAATACTTAATACTAGCCTAATAGTAGTCAATTCCTTTCTTTTTCCTGAAATTTTTTTGCTACAAACCGTGCTTTGTACATCTTGCTGCCATCAAGTTCTTATTTGACCAAGTACACCAACATATTCTGCAATGCCTTCTTCCCATCTAGTAACTAAGTTAACACCCAAGTTTTGTTCTTCTCGACTGAATCCAACTCATCATGCATTGCTAGCTCCCACTTGACAGAATCTTTAACCTGCACTGCTTTCGAAAAATTTTCTAGTTCGCCAGCATCAGTCAAAAACAAATAATGCAATGATGGAAAATACCTCTATACAGTTTAGGTGTTCTACTATATCTTTTTAAAGTGAGTTCGGGTGTAGGTGGTTCTTGTTCTAGTTCTTGATCAAAGTCTACAATTTATAACAAGAGCATTCTTAGAAACCCCCCAATTCAATCTCTCTAGTCTCCACCGTTTGTTTCTCCCCACTAAATTCTGAGACAGATCTGCCCTTGTACAATACATTTTCATTGAATGTAACATCAACAGTTCTTATTTTTCTGTTTTTCATCCCAAAACCAATAGCCAAAATAATTAGAATCATTTCCATTGAGAAAACATGTTTTAGCTTTTGCATCAAGCTTATCTCTATTTTCATATTTTATGTGGATATATAAAACACAATCGAAAACTTTCAGATGTGAGAGAGTCACATTCTTTACAATCCATTCTTCTTCCGGTAGCTTGAAATCAAGTGAAACTGAATGTCCGCTCAAAACCTGTTGGGTAATCTAACATGCATCATCATACTTCTTGCACGCTAATTTAGGGTTATGTTCTTCCCTTTAGAAACTCCGTTTTGCTGTGGTTTATCGAGAATTGTTCTTGTCATCATGATTTCATTTTTTTGCACAAAACTATTTAAACTCCTTGTTATCATACTCACCGCCATTATCGGGCCTTTGACATTTAATCTTGAAGCCAACCTCATTCTCACTTCAACTTTCCATCTCTTAAAGTAGCAAACATATTAGATTTATTTTTCAGAAAATAAACTCATACCTTCCTAGTAGATTCATCAATGAACTTGACATAGTAGCGCAAACCTCCAAGGGAATGTACATGGGTTGGCCCCAGACATATGTATGCACCAACTCTAATTTTTCTTTATTTAGTTATCTTCCAATCTTCGAAAAACTAACACATTTTTGTTTACCCATAACACAATCCACACACAAACCAATATCTATAAACTTCAAATGAGGCAATTTTCCCATTGATGCTAACACCTTCATCCCCTCTCCGCTCATCTGTTCAAGTCTACGGTGCCACAATTTGGAATCAGCTTCTGACTCAGCAACTGCCGTTGTTTCTCTACTGCTTTCAGTCATGTTGCTGTTTCTCTACTGTTTTCAGTCAGGTAAGTGTTCCTGACTTTATTCCTCATGTTAGAATCATAGCACCTTTAACAATTTTCCAAGAGTAGTCCCCAAAAGTAGTCCCAAAAAATAGTCTTGTCCTAAGGCCAAGAACAAATCTGACATTTTGCAACTTCCAATTGAAACCCAATAATAGTAATAGTCTTTATGTGAACATTACACTTCCCTATAATATCCAAAGGTTCATCATCAACAAGATAAATCTTTCCAAACTTTCCAACAACAAATTTGTGCATTAATTCTCTACACAAAGTAGAGTGAAACGATGCACCTCAGTCTACAATCCAAGACTCAATTGGACTGTCAACTCTCAAAATTAAGGTATTCACAGATTTCTCCTGCTCTTGATTTCAATCTTGATACTAAATTTTCTTTTTTGGGGTTCTACAATCTCATCGCAGATGGCCTTTCTTTTGTTTTCTTTTTTCCAACCGAAGCATTTGAAAAAAATATGCATTGTTTAAATCTATTTTCCAAAAACATGTGAACTTATTTCCCATTTTTCCTGTACCTTCTATAATAATCAACATCTTGTGGATAGAATTTATTTAACTTATTATCTAGCAATGGGTCAGTACGTAATTGATGGTGTTTATATATATATATGTGTGTGTGTGTGTGTGCGCGCGTGCGCGCGCGCGCGCGCACACATGTTTGTAGGTATCAAAGTTGAATATACTGCATGTTGACTATGGTTTATCAACAGCTTCTTGGTATTGTAGCCACCTATGGACGTTGATCTTGATTCGTATCTTGACATGAAACAATATAGTTGAGCTGTGCAAGAGCATTTCTGGCAGCTTCCAAATGTCCATTTGCTATAACATCGTGAAGTTATTAAATCTTACGCGAACATCATGGCACTATGAATGAGACTGACATTAAATTTGTTTACGCATCAACAGGTAGAATATACATGGAAAAATGTGGAGAATCTGCTTTGGAGAAAGCTGGAGAGTGCTTTTCTCTATCTGGGCAGTACAGTCTTGCAGCGGAGGCGTATGCAAGGGGAAATATTTTCTCAAAGTGCTTGTCCATTTGTGCCAAAGGAAAACTCTTTGAAGTGGGTCTGCAATACATTGAGGATTGGAAAAGTCAGGGAAATGAGAATAACGGAGTAGTAAAGAAAAGTAAAGAAATAGAGAAATTGGAACGAGACTTTTTAGAGAGTTGTGCCCTTCATTACTATGACCTCAGAGACTACAGGGCCATGATGAAGTATGTGAATGCTTTTCACTGCATCGACTCAATGCGAAACTTACTCAAGAGGCTGGGATGCCTTGATGAACTTATCAATCTGGAGGAAGACTATGGTAACTTTTCGGAGGCGGCAAAGATTGCAAGGATGAAAGGTGACATCCTTTCGGAGGTTGATCTACTTGTAAAGAGCGGACAAAACAAAGAAGCGTCGATGAATATCCTGTGGTACTTGTTATTCTATTCCCTTTGGGCTCCTGGAAGCAAAGGGTGGCCCTTGAAGCAGTTTGCACAAAAGGAGGAGCTGGTAGCAAAAGCGAAACATCTCGCAAAGCCCGAGCCTATTGCCTTCTATGAATATGTTTCCGTAGAATCAAACATTCTGTTAAATAAACAGAGCAGTTTGGCTGAAATGAAAGAACGTTTGAGTGCTTCCAGGAGAAATGGAAGTGTCAGAGGTGAAATACTGTGCGCTCGAAACATTCTGGACTTCCATCTTCATCGAAATATCTCAAATTTTTGTTGGGAATATGATTGGCTTGTCGACCCAATAGAGTATTCTGAAAAACAGATCTTGAGGAATCAGATTTCCCAGATTTCCGTTGACTCATTGGTCTGCTTTTGGAATCTTTGGAGAGAAAAGATTGTTAGAATTATAAAATGTGTAGGATGTGCGGAGATGCTGGAGGAAAAGGAAAATAGGTGCTGTTGGGAGTTCTGTTTGAATAACTTTGGTGTTCTGGAGCAACGGAACAACATGCAAGGAACTTATCACCTTGTAAACCCAGATGCTGATTGGGTCAGCAACATAGATAAAAGATTTCTTCGAAGAAATGGACAATTGGTTGCTTTGGAGATTCAACAATTTGTCTCTGCAGCTCAAAAGTATTGGAACTTCTGTTGGTATGATCCTCCTGCACAAACTGGATGAACTTTATCATTTTTCACTGAGGAGTTCTCTGTCGAACTTCTGTCAAAGCAGATGTCTTGCTCTCTTACATGAGGTTGCAAAGTTCCTTCGAGAACTCAATTGTCTGAATGACTCCTTCCGGCATGGTAGGGCACTGGAGGGTTTCATTGAAACATCCAGCAGGAGGTACATTGGTCACATATTTCCTCTTGACTGGAGAGTATCATCGACAGAATATGATATCTCTAAGAGGCAGTGAGGCTGCTCGTCATCTACTGACAGAAACGATGAACATGATAATTTTCAAGAAGCGTTTTTCACATGGGAAGATGGGTGAGCTTGCGACTTTGTTTCTTGGGTCTGGAATGCTCAACGATGAATTGTACAGAAAAATTGCAGAATCTTTTGAGAGAAATACATCATGGAAGGCATTCATGGAATGTGTGTATCGGGATGTACTAGCAGACCTTCCTCAGGCCAGCGATGATAATAAGCCGTCGAGTTCTCTTTGGCTTGGAACCTTTATGGAGCTTTGGCAGATACTTAGGAGGCCAATTTGTTGAGAGTACTTGGCTAATAGGGGCATATTTGTCTATTTCCTTTATTATTTTATATATTGCAGCAATAAGGGTAATATTGTAATTTTGGCCTTTTTAGCTTTATTATAAATAGATAGCTTGGGGTCACATAAACCTAATCAAGCATTCAGTTCAGTTTTTCCTCTCAACATGGTATCAGAGCCAGATCTGAACTGAAACCCTAACCCTAATCTCTCCTCTGCGCAACCTTTCTTTTTCCTCTCTTCACGCCTTCACTCTCTCCCATCGCAGTTCCTTCTCATCTTCTCTTTTGCTCTCTTTCATAGTGTAGGGCAGCACTAATGAGGTGATTCTTTGAATCTAGTGTCTGCCCTAAACTTCACCTCTATGACATAACTAAAACTTCTTTGCAGTTCGCGATAGGTGGTTCAACTTTTTCTGCGATTTTTTGGATCTTCTTGTCTGGAATTGTTTCTGCCTTGCCGCTGGCCTACAATTCTCTCGTGTGTGAAGACCAAAGCACTGCAGTTCGTGGACCACCATATTTTTTCAGATTCTTTGGGATAAATTAGAATTATCGATTTTTTTCAAGTTTTCAAAATCTTGAAAAAATCGATATTTTTCTTCCCTTGATCTGATCTTGCTGATTTTTTGGAGGATATTTTTAGCCTACTACCAGTGACACAATGTCTAACGGTTCAGTTGAGAATCCTCCACCTACAGGAGATGGTCGTACAGATTATATTACTTTCGCTACAATCTCTGTGAAGCTCGACAGCACAAATTATTTGATATGCTCTCGATCTGTATTCTTGACCATTGCAGGCCGTGGGCTTACAGGTCATATCAACGTCACTTCTGTGAAGCCGGAAACATCGGGTGCTACTCAAGACAAGTGGATCTCGAATGACTCTTTGGTAATGTCTTTTTTGCTTAACTCGATGCAGCCACATATTGCAAAAGGATATTTGCTTCTTGATTCTGCGGCGCAAATTTGGTCAGCTGCTAGGGATACTTATGGTCAAATCGGGAATGATGCACAGGTGTATGAACTTCGAAAAAGGGTTCATGACACTTTTCAGAAGGAGATGACTATATCTCAATATTATGCTGAGCTTCGGAGTTTATGGCAAGAGCTAGATCATTATACCGATTATCAACCAACTAATGCTACAGATATTGCTGCCTACAAGAACCATGTGGACAAGATCAGAGTTTATGATTTCTTGGCAGGATTGAATATTGAATATGATCAGATACGTGTTCAAGTCCTTAGCCGGTCTCCATTCCCCACTCTTGAACAGTCCTATGCCCTAGTTCACTCAGAAGAAAGCCGTAGGACAACAATACTCCAGTCCTCTACTATTGATCGATCTGCTCTACAAATTAGTGCTGGCACTAGTACTAAATCTGGTTCGTTCTCTCGATTTAATGATACCCCTAAGGAAGTTGTGAAGTGTGAATATTGTCATAGGCCTTATCATACTAAGGCTACCTGCTGGAAGTTACATGGAAAACCTGCAGATTTTGAGAAAAAAAAAGCACAGAGAAAGACAAAAAAACAAAGCAAACCATACTGAAACTGTTACTGCTACACCTATTACTGATATCGGTTTATCCCAGGAAGAACTTCAGGCATTTTGACGTCTACTGAAAGCTTCTACTACTGCTGCTTCCTCCATAGTTGCCAATTCGTCTTCCCATTTTGCTTCAAATCTAGCCACTTCAGGTATCTTCTTTGGGGGGTTTAATACATCTGTTGTTTCCAGCCCATGGATCATTGATACAGGGGCTACAGATCATATGACAGGTTCTTCTAGTCTCTTTCATCAATATACCCCTAGCTGATGGAACCCTCTCTTCCATCGCTGGAAAAGGGTCTATCAATTGTTCCTCCACTCTTCCCTTGTCTTCTGTTTTACATATTCCATCATTCTCTACTAATCTCCTTTTTATTAGTAGTTTGACTCGAGACTTAAATTGTAAAGTAACTTTTTTCCCTTCTTACTGTATTTTCCAGGATCTGGTAACGGAGAAGGAGATTGGATATGGTAGATTGGATGGTGGTCTTTATCTGCTCGAGGGTAGTGGGGTTTCTACTTCTATGTCGTCTACTACGCCCCATCAAGTTAATTCAGCATTGACAGATCTCCATCAGTGGCACTGCAGATTAGGTCATCCCCCTTTAGGAACTTTAGAAAAAGTTTTCCCGAGTCTCATTTCAGCTTGTAATAAAGATGAGTTTTTTTGTGAAGCTTGTGTCTTTGCTAAACAAACTCGTTCTACATATTCATCTTCAAATAATAAAAGTCGTTTCCCTTTTCATGTGATTCATATTGATGTGTAGGGTCCTTCCCAACGTACTTCTATTTCTGGTCATCGATGGTTTGTTACTTTTATCGATTGTCATTCTCGTGCAACTTGGGTTTATTTGTTGAAGCATAAGAGTGACGTTTTTCGTTATTTTCAAATTTTTCACAAAATGATTCAAACTCAATTCAACACCACTGTGAAAATTCTTCGCAGTGACAATGGTACTGAGTACATTGAAGGTCAGTTTCAACGGTATCTCTTTGATCATGGCATTATTCATCAGACCAGTTGTGTTGATACCCCAGCACAGAATGGTGTTGCCGAAAGAAAGAACCGACATTTGTTAGAGGTCGCCAGGTCTCTTATGTTTGCACGTCATGTCCCCTCTCGGTATTGGAGTGATGCTATTTTAACCGCTGCCTATTTAATCAATCGGATGCCGAATAGAATTCTTGATTTTCGCACACCTAAGATGTTTTACAGGGATCATCAACTTTTATTCTTCCTCCAAAAATTTTTGGTTGTGTTTGTTATACTCGTAACACTACCTCTAAGAGTAAGTTGGAACCCCGCGGTCTTCGCTGCATATTTCTTGGGTATTCAGCTACTCAAAAGGGTTATAAGTGTTATCATCCTCCTTCTATGCGCAGTATTATATCTATGGATGTGATTTTTCATGAGTCTACTTCTTATTATTCTGCTCCACCTCTTCAGGGGGAGTATCCTAGTGTAGAGGTGTTGCCAATTCTAGATGTTCCTATGGATATTACTTACTCTTCTCCTTCTCCTCCTCCTCCTCCAATAGTCTCTGATCGTTCTCCTTCTCCTTCTCAAGAGGAGAACGATGCAACGCAAGTAGAGAATAATGCAATACTTCGGGGGGAGATATCAGAGATTCAGGGGGAGACCACACCTGTTAAGCAAAGTATGGGTATCTTTCAAAGGCGGATTAATAGTGGAGAAACATTGAAGACATATCGTTGTAGGAATTCCACTACCAACACGCAGGTTAAGACCACTGATACATTGCCTATTCAGTCATCATCTCCGGATCTAGATTCTACTACTCCTTCTGATGAGGTTTCTCCTTATGATCTTCCTATCACACTCCGAAAGGGTATTAGAACTTGTACTCAACACCCTATATCCAATGTTGTTTCATATGACTCTTTGTCTAGCTCCTATCGTACTTTTGTATCTTCTCTATCTTCTGTTTCTATTCCACGGAATTGGCAAGAAGCTTTTGCAGATGAGAAGTGGAAGACAGCAATGGTGGAGGAAATGCATGCTTTGAAGAAAAATGACACGTGGGATCTTGTTGTTCTTCCTCCTGGGAAACAACCGGTAGGATGTAAGTGGGTGTTTGTAGTCAAACAGAAGATGGATGGTACTGTGGACAGATATAAAGCACGGTTGGTGGCGAAGGGATTTACTCAGACTTATAGGATTGACTATCAAGAAACCTTTGCTCCTGTTGCCAAGTTGAATACTGTTCGAGTGTTCCTTTCATATGCTGTAAACCAGGGATGGGATCTTCAGCAGTTAGATGTGAAGAATGCCTTTCTTCATAGAGAGTTAGAAGATGAGGTATATATGGAGATTCCTCCAGGTTTTTCTTGTGACAAAACTCAAGGTAAAGTGTGTAAGCTGAAACGTGCACTTTATGGTTTAAAGCAATCATCTCGAGCTTGGTTTGGTAGGTTTCAGAAAGCTATGATCTTTGTTGGGTATAAACAAAGTAATACTGGTCATACTTTGTTTGTGAAGAGATCAGGTGCTAAAGTCACTATTCTTATTGTCTATGTAGACGACATTATTGTCACAGGAAATGATATTGATGAGATAAGCCGGTTGAAGAATTTTCTTGGACAAGAATTTGAAATAAAGGATCTTGGAAAGCTCCGATACTTTCTTGGGATTGAAGTTGCCAGATCTTCAAAAGGTATCTTTCTATCCCAAAGGAAGTATGTCCTTGATCTTTTAACAGAAGTTAGGTTATTAGGATGTCGTCCCTTTGATACACATATTGAGGTCAATACTCGTCTTCGAGAAAAGGATGGTGATCCCGTAGATAAGGATCGTTATCAACGGTTAGTGGGCAAGTTGATTTATTTATCACACACCAGACCTGATATTGCTTTTGCTGTGAGCCTAGTGAGTCAGTTTATGCATGATCCATACTCTACTCATATGGATGCTGTTCTTCGAATCCTTCGATATTTGAAGTCTGCTCCCGGAAAAGGAATTCTTTTATCTCCTCGTGATGGCTTGAAAGTTGAAGCTGTGGAAAAAAGGTGGCTTTCTCTCTCTTCTATTTTTGTTAGTGTCAAAAGAAGATACAAAAAGGTATATATAGGCTTAACCTTAAGCCTAGCACAATTAAAAAAAAATGCCCCCAACTTGTTAACACTATAATAAATAATAAACCCAACACTCCCCCTCAAGTTGGGGAGTACATATCAAAAAGGCCTAACTTGTTGCAAATGTACGAAACTCGTCCACGTCGAAAAGGTTTGGTGAAAATGTCTGCTAGCTGTTCTTCAGACCGTGTGTGCACCAACCGTATATCACCACAATTCACCTTTTCCCGAACAAAGTGACAATCAATCTCTATATGCTTTGTTCGTTCATGAAACACTGGATTGCTAGCAATGTGAACAGCTGATTGATTATCACAATGAAGAGTAGATGATCCAGTCATAGGTAGTCCAATCTCAGTCAACAACATACGAACCCATTGGAGTTCACTCGTAACATTAGCCATAGCACGATACTCGGCCTCTGCACTAGATCGAGAAACAACATATTGTTTCTTACTTTTCCATGACACAAGATTGCCACCAACAAAGACACAGTATCCAGAAGTAGACCGACGATCCACAGGGCAACCGGCCCAGTCTGCATCAGAGTATGCTGTCACCTCCAAAAATTTAGGGTCAGAATAACCAGCTATATGAAGATGACCCCGATTATGGAACACAAGTCCTTGACCCGGAGCCCCCTTCCAATAGCGAACAATGTGTAGAATGGCTTGCCAGTGAGTGGTACGGGGAGAGCTCATGAATTGACTCATCACACTAACAGCGAAGGAAATATCTGGACGAGTAATAGTGAGATAATTTAACTTTCCTACTAACCAACGATACTTCTCGGGATCATGAAGAAGCTCTCCATGTTCATTATCAAGTCTCACCCCGGGGTCCATAGGTGTGTCACTAGGTCTAGCGTCATGCAAGCCCGCCTCCTTAAGAATGTCAAGATTATACTTTCGCTGAGAGAGAGCGATACTGTCATTAGTATATGCAACCTCTATGCCAAGGAAATATTGAAGATGACCCAAGTTTTTAGTATTAAACTCTTTCTGCAGAAACTGCTTGAGGCACTGTATACCTTCCATGTCATTCCCAGTAACAATAATATCATCAACGTAAACAAGAAGAATAACACACCCCTTTGAAGATGACATACTAAACACAGAGTGATCCACACTGCACCGATGCATGCCAAAAGTAATAACCGCATCACTAAAGCGGCCAAACCAAGCACGAGGAGATTGCTTAAGTCCATAAAGGGCTTTTCGCAGCCGGCACACCTTCTCCCCCTGAGCAACAAACTCGGGTGGTTACTCCATATAAACCTCCTCGTGAAGATCAACATGAAGAAATGCATTTTCGACATCAAGCTGATAAAGAGTCCACTTAAACCGGGCAACCAAAGAAATAATGATACGAATGGAAGAAATTTTGGCCACCGAAGAAAAGGTCTCATCATAGTCAATACCATAAGTTTGAGTATAACCCTTCGCAACAAGACGCGCCTTCAAACGCTCAATTGAACCATCGGGACGGTGTTTGATGACAAAGACCCAGCGACAACCCACCAATTGTTTGTCAGGAGGCAAAGAGACCAACTCCCAGGTCTTATTATGATGCAATGCAGCCAACTCCTCCTCCATAGCACTAGCCCAACCTGGATGGGCCAGAGCCTCCTGCACACTACTGGGCACAGATACAGACGCAAGAGATGATACAAAGAGAGACATCTGAGGGGTTACATTATGATAAGACACATAATGAGAAAGAGGATACCGAGATCGGGTACGGTGAGCAATAGGAGAATCGGCAGGAGTTGGTGGAACAGGATCAGAAGCTGGTGCCAGAGGTGGTGGTGGGACGTTTGCTGGTGGAGAGGCACGACCCCAAATAGGGCGAGGACCACGTCTATAGACTTGAAGTGGAGTTGGTCTAGGTAATCCTGAATCAGGCGGAGCATCAGTAGAAGGAACAGGATGTTTCTCCGGTTGAGAAGCAATCGGAGTACGCGGCAATGATTGATAAGGTCCGGAAGGTGGCAGAAGATCCATCGTTAATGGCGCCTGAAGAGAAACATTGCCAAAATATGCCTGATCCTCGAAGAAAGTTACATCAGTAGAAACATACTCCCGATGGCGAGTAGGACTATAACAGACATATCCTTTTTGAGTACGAGAGTAACCGACAAATATATATTTTTCAGCACGAGGTGATAATTTATCCGATCCAGGAGACAAAGAATGAACGAAACAGACACACCCAAAAATACGAGGACAAATAGACCACAAAGGACGATCGGGATGAAGAAGAGCATAAGGGATAGCTCCCTTCAACACAGAGGACGGAAGACGATTAATAAGATGACATGTTGTAAGAAGAGCATAGCTCCAAAATGACTTAGGCATATGGGTATGGAGAAGTAGACAACGAGCAACATCCAACAAATGACGATTCTTTCGTTCAGCAACCCCATTTTGTTGCGGAGTGTGAGCACAATAACTTTGATGTAAAATACCATGCGACGCGAGAAATGGAATAAAGGTAGAAGAAAAAAAATATTCACGAGCATTGTCAGTGCGCAAGCACTTAACAGGATAGCCATATTGAGTACGAACTTCATTATAAAATAGCAAAAAGAAGAAAACACTTCGGTACGATCTTTGATTAAATATAACCAAGTTATACGAGTACAATCATCAATAAAGGTTACAAAATAGCGGAAACCAAAAGAAGACTCCCGACTAGGACCCCAAACATCGGAGTGGACTAGCTCGAATGGCTGAGACGCACGACTCAAAACACGAGTGGGAAAAGACAAACGATGATGTTTCCCCATCTGACATGTTTCACAATCAAACTGAAGACTAGAACCAGACATAAAAGGAAAAAGGCGAAGTACGTCTGCTGAGGGGTGACCAAGGCGACAATGTAATCGATAGGAGTCATCTACAGCCTTCTTTTGAACAGTAGTGGCAGCAGCAAAAATCTCGGGATCCAAAAAATACAATCCACCAGCCTCACGCCCACCACCTATTTGGCGTCCAGTCTTCCGATCCTGAAAAACACACGAAGAAGAAGAAAAGATAATATCACAGTCAAGTTCACAAGTAAGAGAACTGACAGATAGTAGATTATGAAGAAAGTTTGGAATATGGTAAACAAATGGTAAGGACAAAGACGAACTCAATGATACACAACCTGAACCTGTCACTTTGGACTGAGAACCATCTGCCAAAGTGACTAACGTGGACGAAGCTGATGAGGTTGAGGTAAGAAGATGTTGATCAGCAGTCATATGATGAGTGGCACCCGAATCAATAACCCAAGGACGAGGGGTCGCTGTAGTGGACAAGAGACAAGTAGGATCATTGCTATGTGCCAAGGTAGCAACTGGACCTGAATGAACATCAAGCTGTCGTGCCCTAATCAGCTCATCATATTCTATACGAGTCAAATGTACCATATTCTGTCCAGACGGTGGTCTAGATGAAGGAGCTGAAACATGTAGACCCCGTAGCTCAGAATGGAGGTCGTAGCAACAATTAGCAGTATGTCCTGTATGCTGACAATGAGTACAAAAACGACCCCCACTAGCTCCTTTAGAACCGCTACTACCACCACCACGAGAGGCACCTCGGCCCTAAACACCACGACCACGACCGCGATCACGAGCTCCTTGACCACACAAGCCACCATAGCACTACTGTGTGATATAACTAAAGTTTGGGGACTCGAAGTATAACGAGCAGCTCGAGAGTATACTTCTTCTATGGAAGGTAGAGAGTCCAAAGAAGTAATCTATTGCCGAAGGGCATTGTGACCTGGACCAAGACCTCGGAGGAAGAGGACTACCACCATATTCGCTTCTCGTTGTTGCATTTGAGTAACCGTGGTAGCCGGTGGAAGGTAGGATTTGAGACGTTGACACAAAGATGAAAAACGAGCATAATACTCTCCCAACCCGACATCACCAATTTTAGCTTCAAATAAAGCTTCACACATATCACAAACTCGACTCATATTATTCTGTCCAGAATAGAGTAGAGCACATTTTGTCCATATCTCACGGGCTATCGTACAATCCATGAAAAGATGGCGGACAAATTCAACCATACTCCCCCATAAAAGAGTACGCAATGCAGCATCAGTGACCTTCCATTCTTCTTGACTAGTTGGATCTGTAGGTGGTTCCTCTTCAAGCCATCTAGACTGACGATTAGCATAAATAAAAGTAGAAAGAGCCATTGACCAAGTAGGATAATTGGTACCATCCAACTTAACCAAGGTAGTGTGTAAGCCTGTCATACCATGAGTACCACTCTTATAGGTACCAAAAGACCCTGAACTAGAAGTAGCATTAGGAGGGATCACCCCTGAAACATTAGACGGAGAGTTTGCTGGATCCGTAGACATATCCACAAATTTGACTAATCGAAAACCCCCAACAAAATCTGTCTTCAACACCACTTCCAAATAAAGAACCAATGTCTAGTGATCACACGTCCCTTAGCCAACTACTACTATCACCAACATAGATTGATCACCTCAAAAAAAAAAAGGGACTAGCTAGATGACAGACCCAACGAGGCATCTGGTATTTGCTCAGACATGGGGTCTCCAGAAAGAACAGAAACTGACCACAGTAAACAATGTGAAGAGACTGATGGCACAGAGTGTTATCAAACCTACACCAACTTGCTGCCTAAATCTTCATAAAGTGATTCTAAGAGCGCAGAACGAGAGATTACTGTTGTTGAAAATCCAACTGATCAGAGTATCCCTCGAGAATCAACACTTGAGCTCCTGACATCAACTTCAATGTCTCTTGTGGAAGAGAAAGAAAATAGACCTAAAAAAGTGCAGACAGAGGAAGCAAGCTTTGATACGAAAGAGCCTGATAAGGATGTAGTCTCCTTGAAGGCGGACAGGAGCACGACCACCGCGAAGACCAGGTTCCACACGAAGTTGAGGACCACGATCGGCCTTGAGCACGCGGCGAACAGGAGAGGGTGGCGGCTCAGTCGCACAAGCTGGAGGCAAGAAATAAGCGCGACCCGAAACTTCAACCGGGCTCACTTCTCCAGCCAAGTGAGTCGGAGCAGTCGCACCAGTGGAGCGACCTTAGTCGCACCAGCCGGGAGGCGAGGAAGGAGAGCTCGCACAGGTAGGGCACGAGCTGGAGGAGACAACGAAGAGAGAGAGAGAAAAGAGAGCCAATGCTCTGATACCATGTGGAAAAAAGGTGGCTTTCTCTCTCTTCTATTTTTGTTAGTGTCAAAAGAAGATACAAAAAGGTATATATAGGCTTAACCTTAAGCCTAGCACAGTTACAAAAAAAAAAATGCCCCCAACTTGTTAACACTATAATAAATAATAAACTCAACATAAGCCTATACAGATGCTGATTGGGCTGGATCTCCTGACCGAAAGTCTATTTCTGGGTATTGTACTTTCTTAGGAGGGAATCTTGTGACTTGGCGTAGCAAAAAGCAGAATGTGATTGCTCGATCTAGTGCTAAAGCAGAATTTCGTGCAATGGCACATGGAGTTTGTGAACTGTTATGGCTTAAAGGATTACTTGAAGATCTTGGTGTATCTGTTCCTATTCCTATGATGCTATATTGTGATAATAATGCCGCCATTAGTATTGCTCACAATCCTGTATAGCATGTGAAGGAAACAGATTCCTAAAACATAATACAAAAATTGCGGAAAAACGTGCCCATTCTACGCTTGAATCACCGATCGTTCGAAGTATATTACGTGAAATGAACATACCTCTTTTACCACAGATTAAATGCACTTATCACAGCCTCGAGAAAGAGAACAATACTTGAATTGTTGAACAAAGCCCCTTCTTCTTTGTCCTTTAGTGAGAATGAGTTTTCTGATGATGAAAATGCAACTTGCACACGCATTCTTACGTGTGTTCTCACCTTATTTGTTTCTAGACAATAACTGCCAAGTGCAGTTATTTTCTTTCATGGGCTGGGTTAGCCCATCATGGGCGGCCCATCTTCACAAAGAAAATCAATCATCTCCCACTCTCACATGGTGGGCTAAACATTAACTCTCTCTTCTTTGTAATATTCATACTAGCAAATAATCCGTGCGACCAGCATACTTCGAGAGCTCGTTGCGATGCATCTGTTAGGAATATATAGCAGCTCAAAATTGGGTACAACGTTTTCCGAGTAGATATAGTATGTAGTCCCCTAGATCAATCAGTCACATTTATATCCCCTTTGATCTCTTTTAGTATCTCGTATATTGTATTCACAACTATGATTTACTTAAAATCATAATTGGTCGACCTGTGAATACAAACATAGAATGTGACATCATAATAAATTGATCTTCCCCTTTCCTTCAATCTCTCTATTTCAGTCCAGCTCGCTTTTCTAGAAATGCCCCATTAGATCGAATCATTCATGACCATTGGCAACATCCTAAGATAGCGAACACTGAATAGAAACTTTGAGAATAAGTTAGAGTCGTAAGGGCACTAAATGAGGAACTCATATTCTCAAGAGTCTCACATGGCATAAAGTTGAGATCAAAAACTTTTGCCACTCTTATCGGTCGTCTTATGCATACGTAGTATGAAATACGTATTACGGTATTAACTCCTTTCCCGTGGAGCGTATGTCTTTACATTCAATACCGTACAGATGATAGTTCAGACATACCTAATGTCTAAACTTGAGTTCACGTATCTACTCCTCTAAAGAATCCATTAGAACTCACATCTGGCATCAAAGACAGATAAAGTAAAATATGTGGGTTATTTTACTTTCGGACATAGTAAATGTTATGTCCTCATCTTGGCACTTAGCTAAGGCAACATTTTTTATTTTAAGCTTGAGCTCTCGATTATCACCTAGATAATAAGCCTAAAAATTGTCTCATCTCTATTTATCGCACAGTAAATAGAGGCGATTACCCGTATAAGTGGGCTAATCTCATCTGTCAGACATACTTTCTCGATATAATGCACTAAGCATTAAGATGCATAAATATTAAATAAATTCATAGGCATTAATAATGATATAACAATTTCATTTAAATGTGAACATTCAGGGAAATTACAATATTCAGTACATCAGCATCTACGCAATCCTAGAGATTTTACATGACCATTGAAAACATCTCTAGGAATTGGCTTCGTCATAGGATCTGCTATCATTCTATGCGTAGATATGTACTGCAAGTTCACATCCTTTCGTGCTACCATATCCTTGACAAAGTTATACTTGGTATCTATATGTTTGGTCTTGCCATGATATTTCGGATCCTTGGTGTATGCTATTGCTGCTTGACTATCACTATTGACTAACAATGAGTTTTCAGGACTCTTAGCAACACCTAAATGATCCAAAAATCTCTTAAGCCAAACACCTTCTTGTACTGCTCCTGACAACGCCACGAACTCAGCTTCCATCGTGGACAATGCTATACATGTTTGTTTCTTACTGCTCCAAGATATGGCGCCATTATTCAGTAAGTAAACAAAACCAGAGGTAGATTTCCTTTCATCTAAATCTCCTCCCCAATCAGCATCTGAGTAGCCTTCAAGTCGCGAGATCCTTGCCTTGATAACTCGGTGAATAATTAGCATACCCTTTAGATACCTCATGATTCTTTTTACGGCTTTCCAATGTGCTTGACCTGGATTGGATTGGTACCTACTTACCATCCCAACTGCAAAACATATGTCAGGTCTTGTACACATCATAGCGTACATTAAACTTCCAATAGCACTAGCATAAGGAACACGTTTCATTTGTTCCTTCTCTTGTGGAGTCTTAGGACACAACCTATGGCTCAATCCTTCACCTTTTGCAATAGGAGTATCCATGGGTTTACAGTCTTGCATACAAAATCGTTCAAGAACTTTATTTATATAAGTCTCTTGCGAAAGAGACAATAATCTCTTGGAACGATCTCTTGAAATCTTAACTCCAAGAATATATGCAGCCTCACCCATATCTTTCATCTCAAAATTGGACGATAACCAACTCTTAATAGTATTAACCAACTCCATATTGCTTTCGGTAATCAGTATGTCATCAACATATAATGATAAAATCACAAATTGATCTTTGGATCTTTTGATATACACGCAATGATCTTCATCAATCATTGTAAAATCAAACGCCACTATGGCATTATGAAAACGTATATACCATTGTCTCGAAGACTGCTTAAGGCCATATATCGATCTTAGAAGTCGACATACTTTTTGTTCTTGGCCTTCCACAACGAAGCCAACTGGTTGCTCCATGTAAATTTCTTCTTCTAATTCTCCATTTAGAAAAGCAGTCTTTACATCCATTTGATGTAATTCAAGATCCATGCTTGTCACTATTGCCAGAATAAGGCGAATTGAGGTAAATCTCACTACAGGAGAGAAAGTTTCTTCATAATCAATTCCTTCCTGTTGATTATACCCTTTCGCCACTAGGCGAGCCTTATATCTTTCTATTGAGCCATCGGATTTGCGTTTTATTTTGAGAACCCATTTATTCCCAATAGCTTTGCGTCCTTCTGGAAGATCAACCAGTTCCCAAACATGGTTTGACTTCATTGACTCCATTTCTTCTTTCATTGCAATCATCCATTTTTCTTTCTTAAGGCAATTTAGAGCCTCATTTACATTCCTTGGCTCGTCTTCATTTTGTGGAGCGATCATGAAAGTTTCCCCTTCAATGTCAAAACGTCGTCGGGGAATACTTTTGCGACTTGTTCGCCGTATGGGAGATTGTACACGTGGTATATCATTCTCCATTATGCTCCCACTTGGATTAGATAATGACGGAATCGTCTCATCAAAAGGTTGCAATTGAGATTGAGTCGAATTCAATTCCTCACTTCTCACATTGCTTCCACTTGGACGAACTTTATCGATTTCACTATCAGGATCCAAGGTTTCAAATAGTGAGTAGTTCTCACCTATTTCGCCCTTCTTAGGAAACTCATTCTCTAAGAATATGACATCTCGTGATTCAAATTCAGTTATACTCCCACTTTCTTGCTCACCTATAAATACATATCCTTTTGAGGTTTCCGAATACCTTATGAAGATACTCTTCTTACCTCTAGGACCTAATTTCCCATACTTATGAGAAGATTCATGTGTATAAGCGGCACAACCCCAAGGTTTCAGAAAACTCAAAACGGGTTTTCTACTTGTCCATAATTCATACGGAGTGGAAATAACCGATTTAGAAGGCACACGGTTAAGTATGTAGGCAGCAGTTAATAAAGCGTCATCCCAAAAGGTGATTGATAAGTTAGCCTGCGCCATCATGGACCTAACCATTTCTAGTAGGGTTCTGTTTCTCCTTTCCGCAACACCATTTTGTTGAGGAGTATAGGGAATAGACAACTGTCTTTCTATTCCCTTTTCATCACACAAATTTCTGAACTCATCAGATAGATATTCTCGACCTCGATCGGATCTCAATGCTTTTATTTTCTTATCTAATTGATTTTCCACCAAGTTCATAAATATCTTGAAGCAACTAAAAGCCTCAGATTTATGAGAAATCAAA